CCTTATGCCTCCCTTTGTGCTTACAGCACTAGAACATATCAGATATACAGAATTTTCATATCATAATTTATTTTTTTCAGATTCCCTAACACAGACAGAATCTCAAAGGATTCTAGCCCCTTATAACTCCCTTCTGATATCATTCAAACACATCAAATCATCAAATTCAGAAAAAATCGGATTACATTAGAAAAATCGTCAACGGCATAACGGTAGTCCACAGAAATTTCAACAGATCAAATCACAGTTTCAGAAAATTACCAAATTACCACAGATAGTGTAAAATATCTTTTTAAGACTTTTCATTGTACTGAAGCAATATTTTCCAACATCCAGATAATTTTCTATTCAATTAAACTCCGCAGAATTCAAACTACTAGGTAAAAACTTTCCAAAAAATACTCAAAACGTGCAAAAACATCGTCTCTACAACATACCAAAAGTTACGCAGTAAAAGATTCGTCGATACAAAGATAAATCATTTTTAGGCTAACAGAAACGAAAATCGAAATAAGAAATCCGTCAAAAATTACATTTCTGAAAATTGAGAAAGCCATAATGTGTCTTACCTTGAGTCGATCAACTTTCCCAACTATGACGACGGACGAAAACGAACCAAAGTCGCCCAAAATCCACTTTTTCTTTCTCTTTCTTCATTTTTCTCTCTCCTCCTCTTCTCTTTCTTTAAAAAATATCTCAAATCGGATATTTATCAAACAGGATCGTCCAGGACGATGCCCGATCGTCCCGGGACGATCTCCTCTGAACTCCAATCGTCTAGACGAAAATTAATTATTTTTTCTAAACGATGCTCTCTGGACAAATTTCGTACAAACAAACATACCTTCGTCCTGGGACGAAGCTCTCTGTCACCAAATTTTTAACTGATCGTCCCGGACGAACTCCACTTTGTCCTGACGAACCTGGAAGGAAAACAAAAGAAAGACTGGCTTTCAAAGGTGCTATCCCTCTTTTTTGCATGAACTTGAGGACCCTACTGATACGGATACCACGGACCTTATGTTGCTTACGTGTAGGTTGAAGGTTTTTTGTTGTAGCATTGAATTATTGCAACTCCTTTGTCCTCAAAGGTAGTTTAATTCTACTTGCAAACTTTTTATCCTCCAAGATAGTTTACAAGATACATGAGTTTGATATCAATCCCTTCATTCCAATTGGGATGATCGTTGTAGGCTAATTATAATTGCTCAAATAAGTTTATACCAAAGCTTGTAATGACTTTATGTGCGAGTCTTTGCTTGAAAGCAAGTTGTATCACAAGTTCATTTGTTCATCGATGTTTGTTTGAGTGCACTGAAGGCTTGTTCATCATGAGTCATTTTGCTTGATTATTATCTATTTCAATACTCTTTCCAAGTTCATTCATCATTTGCTATTTTATTGTATTTTCATTTGATTCTTGCATGCACGTTGATCATGCTTGGATGCCCTCCTTCACGAGTCTCTTGTTATATGATTCAAATTCTATTATGTATATGTGTTTGAACCCAAGTTCAGTTCATGCTTGAGTTCAAGCTCAATATGAGTCTTCTACATTCATTCAAGTCCTTCAAGTTCTATGTCACATTGAGTTCACTTCGAATTTGAGTCAAATGCTTACAAGTTCAAGTCCCAAATAACCTTGTTGAGCTCAAGCCCAAGTTCAAAGTTCTATGTATTTGTTCTTTTGAATTAAGTCAAAGTTCAAGTTAATGTCATTTGGTCCAAATCAAGTCCATGTGTTCAACTAGCAAGCTCAAGTCCTTGCTCAAATTATTCAAGTCAATCCCTTGTGGTCTCTTGAGTTCAATCAAGTTCTATGTCATCATCAGCTTAGTTCTTTAAAGTTCATCCAAGCTTAAGTTCTATGTTCAGGTCCCCTACTATCTCAAGCATTGTTCAAGTCTTTATGATTATTCAAGTTCAGTTCTCCTTGGTCAAATTATTTGAATTCTTTTGCTTGATCATTTAGCTCATTTGGTGTTTAAATTTAAGTTTAATTTAGTTCTCATGTCGTCTAAATTGAGTTCAATCAGGTCCAGGTGTAGCATTGCGTTCACCCAAAATTTTGGTAGCCTCCCGGCGTCTCCCCCGTTTAGGGAAAAATTACGGGAAACTAGACCTTCCAACCACGCTAAGAAAAGTGTATATGGTAGGTGCCCTCGGACGAGGACACTGTGGCCGTATATTTTTGTCCCTCGTCATGCTAAGAAAAGCGTGTATGGGTCTTTAGTACCTGTTGCAAAAGAAAATTAGTTGTTTTCCCGCAAGCGGGTACTTATGGATATCCTTATTTCATCGTACACGTCGCAATGGGTTCCCATTCCACCACACTAAAAAAAGCGTGTATAAGCGATTTTCCGGTGCGCCACTAACTCTGAAGAAGGGATTTTAGGTGATCACCCGATTCATCGAGAGCACCGTGACGAACTTCCTCCCACCACGTTAAAAAAAGCGTGAATAGGTGGTCGTTTTGTCACGTTGCAAGCGTCGAAAGCGGGTTCTCAGAGTTTTAGGATTTAGAAGGGTTATACCTTGGCATGTCGACGATGACGACGAAGTTTGCACATGAATCGAGGCAAGGGAAGAGAAGCATTTCTTTCTTTTTATAATTAATTATAATTAATCTTAATTAGTTACACTTAATAATAATTAATTAACTAATTAAAATAATTAATTAATTAATTATAAGGCGAAAGGAGTAGGTTATCTTCACTGCACGCGAGCTCCTGTTGCTGCTTCCGATTAAAATGTCATAACTTCCGAAACAACAGGATGGGAACGTCGCCAAGGGAGGTAGAGACGTCGGCTAGGCTAGGGCTTCAAACAGGTAGGTGCTCTCCTCTCTCTCTCTCTCTCTCTCTCTCTCTCTCTCTCTCTCTCTGGATCAGGAGGATCGAAGGGTTGGGAGCTAGAGGAGTTCGGGAATAAGCAAGAGGAAGAGCGACGGGAGTTTAAGGGCTTTGTTCGTGTGAAGAAACCGGTGTTGATCAGGCTTCCTCTCCCTTTTATTAACGCGATTGGGAGCAAGATCGAGGCTGCCGTCGCAGGATTCGCGGGGATGCGCACGAATGGTGTCGAGCTACAGTACTTTTGCGGGATCATGGATTTGAGCGGGATTTGCGGAGGACTCGACGGGTTACAGCAAGTATGCATTTCGTTTCATTTTATTTGGGTATTATACATAGGTCAACAAATCCTAGGTTCATGGCTATTGTACTCTCTAGAATCTTTGAACAATAAAGTAATTGTGAAAGATATCAAATACTTAAAATTTATGAAGATTTACATGATTTGACAAGATCCACCTATGCCCATGGCTGCATAGAAATCAAATAATGCACTAAGCTTCAAGAGAGGCATATGTGAAGCTTAGACTTCAAACAAATTTAAGAGATGCAGTCTGATGATGCACTTTGAAATATTCAAACTTATAGAGGTAGTCATCTATTGTTGCTTTCATACTTCTTTAAAGATGAAAGAAAATAGATATTGTACATGACATCAGGAAAGGTACAAATCATTGTTGCACAAATGCTTTATCTTTGATTGCTACAGTAAATGCAACCTACTACAGTATTGAGCTTTGCTACAACATCTGACCATATCTCTTTCTTTAGGCATGAGCAGTAGTTGGCATGGATCCTTTTGGCATGTGGGAAACTAGGGGGCAACCAAATGGAGGTTTATGTACATGTGTAGATTTACATAAATTTACAAAATATATTAACTCCATATGAAATAAAAAATCTAAAAAATGGCTCAAAATTGATTACATGATTCTCAAGATGTTCCCTTAGCTTAAACAACTCAAATCAAATCTCAGGCTTTGTTTGTTTGAGTGTTTTTTTGCCTTTTCCGTTTTCAAACGGAATTTTTTTTTTTGTTCGTCAAATCACGTTCCCAATAACTCTTTTTTTTCATTTTTCTATAATTTTGAGAAAGCTTTTTATATATGCTTCTCCGTTAGAAAACTCCATTTTCTGAACTAATGTTTTTTACAACTGTCTTTTACAAAAGCACCAAAAAAACAAACGAAGCCACAACAATATGCGTTTTACAATAATGAGTATATTGCACAACATATAAAGGGAATTCTAAATATAGAAGGAAATCCCAAATCCACTAAAAAAGCGACAATCCCACACCAAAATTTGAGCATAATTTCCACTAATTATATATGAATTGATAGGCATAAAATCATCAAGAAACATTACATCCATGTTTAAGAAGAAATTTTTGGAGGGTTTATTTTCTTTTGTTTTTTCGGTGATGCAGGTAGAAGTGTGGGGCTAAAGGTAAAACGCACAAACAGAATAAAAATAAAAATGAACCTGTAGAGGTTTGCCCAACACAAATACAAAAAATTAGCCAGTCAAAATTGCTATCCAACTCTCAATGCAATCTGCTTGGCTTACCTTAGTATTTCACATGAAAGTTAGTAATTGTTCATATCATTTGTCTTGGTTATTACGTTCTTCACCTCATGTGCTTTATTGTCATTGTTCCTTACTTCAGCATTATAATTTTCAGTCTGGATTGTATTGATATTTCTTTCACTTCTGCTATTTGGGCACTAAGGATCTCATTTTATAAAAATAAAGGTCCTAAACTAGTTTAAAAGATGGAGAGGAGTGATTAAATAATGACTTCAATTTGGCTTCTCAAGATCCTTCTTGGACTGCTCTCTCACTAATCCATATCTTCTCTCACACGCATTTATTTATGTCTGATCTTAGCATCCACCCTACCTCATATCCCTCTCTCCTCCAGATATACCTTTCTTGTCTCACTCTCTTGGCTCTCATGTCCTTTCTGGTTCTCTCGCTCTCTACAACTAAACTCATTCATTTACCATCTAAATGCTTCATCCAATAATTTGGCATCACATTAATATTAGTGCTTCTCACAAGGAGTCCATCCACAAACTTAAAAAGTTTTTTCCTTGGGTCATTAAAAGAAAAACTTACATAAAAATGAAAAACATTATCTATTTAAACCTTCTATTAAATTTGTAAGGTGAAAGAACACCAGATGTATCTCTTGCTGCCCAGCCGAAGCAATCTCTGCTCTCGCTTTTGGAAGCCATGGTTAAGTATACACTTAGACTGCAAAGGAAAATAAATAAATAAATAAAAGAAACGCAGAACAAACGCAATGTTATGCTGCAATCAGGTATAAGAAAAATCAGTTTGCTAAATTTTTTTAAGAATGAATAAATAACTAAGATCTTAATTTCTCTAGTTGATATCAAGATATCGCCCAAATCAATGAAATTTAGTCAAGCTATCAAAACAATGATGAAATTTTATGTTTGGTTCAAGCTTGATGTAAAATAAAGTGTTTCTACGTCAAATATAATTTTTTTTAAATGCCTGATTTATTTAAAGTTAGTGAACTTCAGTTACTTTATAGTTCATTGTCTCCACAAAATTGATGCAAGTAAATGCAACCGATTGGGCTGTAATTAGGTATCAAGGGCTTCATTGTATACGCCCAGATTAACAGCCACCCTATCCAACTAGCTATGATGAGTAGACGGTGCGATATAATCTACACAGCTACCTTATACAACTAGCTCCACATAGCGGTGTAAGTTATAGGAGCAAGGTCCGACAGACGTGTTAGCCCAAGATACCAAGACAAAGATCATAACTGTATACAACAACAATAATAACATCAAGCTTTTATCCCACTACGTAGGGTTGGCTACATCAATCCTTTTTCTCCATTGTGTCCTGCTAAAAGTCAAATTATTATTTAAATCTAATAAAAAAAGATCATTTTTAACACTTTCTAACCAAACCTTTTGAGTATACCTCTAGTTTTCTTAACATAAGTCAAATCTAATTCATCTACTCTCCTAATCGGGCCATTAGAAAGCCGATGTCTTATGTGACCAAACCATCTAAGGCAACTCTCTCTAATCTTATTTGCCATTGGAACTATTCGCATTTTGTTTCTAAGAGTAAAGCCACTCATCCACTTGAGCATCCTCATCTCTGTAACACTTAACTTAGTTAAAGCTTCTATTTTAATGGTCAACATTCCGCGGCAAAAAGTTGTAATACCCCATATGTTAACTTTGTCAAATATTTTTTTGGAGTCAATATAAGTTCAAATCACAAATCATCTTCACCATAGCATTGATATTATAGTGCTTTAATTACACGAATTTTTTTTTTTGTAATTTTTTTGCACTGGTGAAAATCCTTAAGAAATTGACACATGTCGGTACAAAGTGAGAATTTTGAGACCGTCAAGTGTCTATTTTGCAAAATGATTTTATCAATATTTTATAAATAAAATGATTTAATTTATGGATATTTATCTATAATTTTTTAGGCCCAAAAGAATTTATATAAATTTTATAATTATATATTTCTATATTATTATTTTAATACAAATATCTTATTCCATTATTTAAAATATCTTAAAGCCAATTGAATTTTCTCAAATCGGTTAACAGAGAGCACCCTAAGTAATTTGAGAGAAAATGTGATGAGAGAGAAAAGGAAATCTAAGATTTCTAGGTTGTTGAGCAATTTTCGTCAATCAAACCTATTGGATGATTTATTCATCTCGTTCTATGGAAACTTTACACAATTTCTAATTTCAAGAATTTTGTGTTTTTGATATTTTTTCTGATCAAATTTTTATTTCCAATAATGAAAAATAAGAATAATTTTATATTGGTAAAACTTTCATTGTGTAACTTTTTATATATTATAGAGATTAAGATTATGAATGTTTTGAGTATTTAAGATTTTTCACCGGGTAATGTTGAAAATACAATTATTTTTTGCCTACTTAGAAATTTATTTTAACATCTAAAAATAGTGTTTTAGTTCAACAAAAGCTTCAAAATGTTATTTTATGCAATATTTGGTAATTTAGTTAAATTTTGAAAATGTGAATGTTTGCTCAGTATGATTTTTTTGTCTACCATTAGGACATTTTAACACTTTCTTAATTTTTTTTTATCACTTTCTTAATTATATTCATTGAGCACATGATATACAAGACATATTGAGTATATGATTAAAAAATTGATTTAATACTCATATAGAATAAGTGGATAGCAAGTGTACATTTTTATATGATTTTACTACATTGAATTTATTTCAACAATCCTTACTAATGTTTTGATTTTATGCTTTATCTAATTTCTGTACTAATTGATATTACGGATACAATGATTGTTTTATAGATTTTTCACTCATACTGATTTATTATTTTACTAGCTTTCGTACCATAGTATTTTATTGTTTATAGATTCTACTACTACTGCATGTAAATTTTATTATTTATGCACTGATTCAATGATCATATGAATGTATCTACTATGATTTGATTGTTAACATGCATATTGTTCATTTTTCGTGCTTTAAAATCAGTTATAAATTTTGGTGACCTGCTAGGTATTTTAGCTCACTATACATGATTAAATGATTTCATGTCAAGTAGAAAATCAGAAGTGTGAGATTGACTCGGATTCCTCATGTTTTGTTTCTTTTTGCTTTAACTATTCTTTTATACTCCTGACAAGATAGATATGTGATGATTGTATGGATCATGAGTTTTGTATATAATTTTTGGGAATGAATACAAATATGTACGTTGATGTTTTGAATTATAAAATATATTTTCGTTGTTTATTTCTGATAAATAAATTAGATAGCTCTGATTGTTATTTATTAAAAGAATAATTCTTCCAATTTAAATTTTGGGGCATTACAATTGATATCATAGCATAATTATTGAAAGAATTGATTGTTACCAGAGCTGTAAGAATTGATTGAGTTGGGAAGAATGAATAAAATATATAGTTTAGGGTGTATTATTTTGCATACATAGTTAATTATATATGTGTATTATTCAGATCATATCGAATCGAGCATGTAAACAATCAAAATGGATCCACTAGTCAAATATAGCCAATGAGCAATACAATGCAACTCTAGTGCCATCAGATAGTGTGATGCAGTTGGCTAATGTTATAGCACAAGTAATGAGGGATACACAAAGTAAGTCAGCTGGAAGCAAAAAGAAAAGAGGGAGGTAAACATTTGTAAATATTTCATAAGCTAAAAGCTCTGTTGTTCAAAAGAGTTGTAGAACCTCAGGCAGCAGAAGATTGGTTACTGAGGATAGAGAAAATTATTGACATCATGTAGTGTCTGGAGAGCTGGAAGGTACCATTAGCTATGTTCCTGTTTGGAGGAGAGGAAGAGAGATAGCGGATTGGATAGTACAGAGAGAAATTTCAGAGGACTAATGTTGAGATCACTTAGGATGAGTTCACTATAGTGTTCAGGATGTAGTTTGTACCTCCATCAGCCCAATGACAAATGTAGGAAGCATTTATGAAATTGGAGCAGGAGTGCAAGATAGTGATGCAGTATGTAGCCAAGTTTACTGCCCTTTCTAGGTATGCTTCTCACTTGATCCCTACTGCTAAGGAAAAGTGTTCATTGTTTAAAATTTTAGAGGACTAATATGAGGCTCGCCTCTGCACAATTCCACTGAAAAACGCCTTGAGGCTTACGCCTCAAACCTTTTTATGAGGCTTGCGCCTCAACTTAACTGAGGCCTGCCTGGAGAAGCACCTCGCCTCTACGCCTCACCCTACTTATATATTTTTTATTAAAACTTACCTAAATCCTTAACTAAAGCCCCAAACAAATCATGCCTTAATGCACCTCCGAGCAAAAACAACTCCTCTCAACTTCCTCGGCCTCTAGCCTATCACCTTTGTCTTAGCCACCACTATCGTAGCAACCGTCGGGGATCACTTGAAGGCCACACACCACCACCACCTCCTCTAAAAATTTAGGATTATTACTCTCACCATTAGATTGATGATAAATATTTATTTAAGACAAAAATGACTGAAATAAATGATGAAGAAGCAAATTGAGGAAGCTTGGATTCCACAGGATGAGAAAGATAAAAAAACCAATTTTTTTATGATGACTCCAATAAAAAACCACCTCATTGATGACACAACAGATGATTTTTGAGTTGTTGACAACTATTTTAGCTTTTTTTAAGAATTAATCGTGGATGAGTAAGTGAGAAAGAAAAAATTTTAAGTTAAACTTGATGTTATATGATACTTGTATGATTTTTTACATTTTATGTTATTTTTTTCTTGGATTTTAATTATATTTCATGCAATTTATCACTTGTCACTTTACAACATGTGCAATTTTTTTTATATGAATGTCAATTTGTTACTTAATAGTTCAATAAAAAGCTAACATGTCATTCTTTAGCATATTATTTTGGTATTATATAAAAAATCACTTTTAACTTTTATTTTCATTTCATGCAATTACTAGATTTTGAGGCTTACGCCTCAAAACGCATTGAGGCTTACGACTTGCCTCATGAACGGAAAATGCCTTAATACCCAATTGCACAATTTAAACTTTGATAGGTTTCTGCAAGGGTTGAACAAAGAGCTCAGACATTTGCTAGTTCCTCTATGGATTCAGAAGCTTTCTGCGTTGGTGGAGTTGGCCAGACTGATAGAGATTGATTTGACAGCACCAGCATCTATTAGTTTATGCCAAAACAATGACATAAATAGAAGAAATTATTATGTGCAGAGTCCGGAAGGGAAAAACCATCCAGACTGAGTGTACACAGTGTGCACAAAATATTGATACACACTGTCTACAAAGTTGTAAACTGTGTGTACACTCACATGTTCAAACAGTTCATATCGTCCAGACTCCGCACATAATAATTTCTCCATAAACAGTCCCTACTCCCCCTTAATTATGTTGACTATTCATATCAAATTTTATTTTATCAAATCAGTTCAATATGCAAACACATAATAATGACCATATAAAAAGCTTGCATAATCATACAAGAAAAATCGCTGACCTGTAATGGTCAAGTAGTTTTGTATTATTACACAAAAACTAAAGATGATAGTAGATCAAAAAAATGTTTTGGTCGAGTCATATCGGGTCGGTATAGATATTTTCTATGCCCAAGCTTGGCATGGCCCGTTGAATCGATTGACTTTCCCTACCTATGCTAGTGATGCAGTTGAGTTGGGTTGGCATGGCATACTCAGTCAAGTTTTGGGTAATCTATTTTTTTAAACAGTTCAGATTGCTTAAGCACGAATCTTTGGTGCATATATTTGATTATTCCGCTATTAAAGATTGCTATTATGTAAATCAACGGTCATTCTCGAACCTACTTTCTAGAACGTCTTATGATTTTGTTTTTTTCAGGAACGACAATCAATAAGACAAAAGTATATAATAAACAATCGCCAAACTAAATTTCAGATCTGATGAATTTAGAAGTTAGAATTTGGTAAACAAAAGAATATCACGGGTCAATAGAATCTAGGGTTTCTGCGAAATCGAAGATGATGACTTGATAAGGAGATAGAAGCACACAAAATTAGGAATATGACTGAAATCATACGTTACTTTTCCTCAGTTTCTCCGATGCCCGACTTCAAGTGATCAACGATGGGGCGCCTGTGATTCGCAAACTACAAAACAGCACCGGTCAGTATCAGAAGTTTCATAATGGATTGACGAGGAGCAATATGAGGCATAGAGACACAGCTAGAGAGTACCGGCCATATGCGACTTGAAGTGAAACGTTATTGACTGGTTAAGCTGGCAATGTAACGTCGCGATGGCTTTGAGTTGGCGGGTAGGCTACCGTGCAAAAGATAGCGCGAGCGACAGAGAGGGATTTGCGGCCACTGGCACTGCGGGCCGTTTGCGTGGCTTTTTGACTTTTGAGTATTATTTTCTTTTATTTTTTATTATTTATAAAAATTATGATGAAAATTTATTTTCTTGTAATTAAATAAGAGCTAAAATATATTTAGCTATTTTTTAAAAAAATATATTTATAATATTTATAATGCTAACAATTGAATGATCATCTTTATAAAAAAATCATATTAACCTCAAAATTACTTCTAAAAGATTTTTATCCAGCCTTCTTAATCTTGTATAATCATAGAAATATATAATATGAAATTATACTCTTTGTTATAAAATTTTAAAATGAGCACACAAAATTATATTATATGTAATAAAATCACAGGAAAAAAGAGAATAGGAGCCTTATTTTCGATGCAGCCTATTTATGTATCTCATTTTGATATGTTGGTAGAAAGTTTTGACTATCAATCAAGAGAGCTTTGATTAGCTGGATTCAAGTTTTTCATATGTGATATATATGAATTTGATTTAATTGATATATATAACCCCTTTCAAATAAGGGGAAAACCCAACATTAGAACACAGAACCGTTTGATTTTGTAACTGTGAACAGTAAAAGCATAATTATTGTTTACAATTTCGTTTTTACTATTCAATGCTGTGTTTTTACTACTGTTTTACTATTCATAGTCACAAAATCGAAAATTTCTCTATATTCGGACTCCGCACATAATAATATCTACTGTAAAACAGTGTTTCCTCACTAGTTTTTTTTTTTTTAAGATTCCAATAGCTCAAATAAAATATGTACATAGAGCCGGCTTTGTAGAATATGATGTTCTGTTTTATTTATTGTGAGATATGATAACACATCAAAAAATTATCAATGGTACGTTTGGTATTTTCATTATTTTTCAAGACCTGAGTGGGCCTTTTAAATAACCTTTTTTAGTAACTATTTTACTCTATTTATGCTCACCGATTACAGCCACCAACCACTTTCCCAATAACAATATCAAAGAGTTGTAAATTAATTTTAAAATATGAAAATTTTAATGATAATAAATTCATCATAAATACAAGCATAAATTATAAACATTTGTTATTACAATACAAATTTTAATGAAGATTCTAGCATGATCAAACTCAATTATAAATTAACATATTTCATGATTTATGAAAACAAAATGTATGTCTCAATAATTAAAATAATATACAAGTAAAAATGGCAAAGCTAGTAATCACATCATATCACAATGATCACATAAAATACTATGAATAAATATAATATAGTCTATATTTTATATTTTATAATTATAGAATACAAATAAATATCAAGAAAAATGCTCAAAACAAATAATAATATGCTTATCAATTACTTTTTTGTTTTGGGAACGGGGAAGTATCGGCCCGCTGCCACGTCAGCTTGTGACGCGCTTGGCGATGTCAATTAGTCTCCTCGGCTGACCTAGATGAGCAACCCACACCCTTGCTACTCGTGGCCAGCATTTATTGGGTCCCCCCTAAAGGGGCAACTGCCGCTTGAGAAAATCGAACTCAGGATGGGGGGTTCCCAACCGAGCACGCCCACCAACCAAGCTAAACATCGGTGGGTACTTATCAATTACTTAATAAAGAGTTTCCTATCAAACAGATCCCAAGCAACCTAGTTTTTCAATCATGTGTTGATCCTTCTCACTCCAAAATACGGTGCTCCACAAATCCAAGATTTAGGATAAATTAAATAAATCATACATTCAAGGCATTGTAGATTAATGCATTAAATAATCAAATAAACAAATCAAGCAACTTCTTCAAATCAAGAGTTCCCCCTAATTTATACTTCATAATTAACCCTGAATGATTGCGAATTATTTACCATATTTTCCTAGCAATGCTCATAGATAGTAGTTGATTCTAGAGCTCTTCTCCTTGTTCATTCATCCTGCTTTGCTTTCCATGTCTGCCTAAAAAGAAATTTGTGTCAAACATACTTTAAGATGTGGCAAGTGTGGATTGATTCTAGTGACTAAAATCAGTCATTATATGAAGCAGGGCAATTGGATCAGGAAGCGTAGAATAATATGGAGAACCAAGATTTTACTGTCTATCATAATTTCATGGAGATGGAGTAAAGATTCATAAGAATGCTCTTTGAAGCATTAAAGTGGTCCATAGGGAGGCTCCAAGCCTCCAAGAGAAAACAAACTAGAAGGATCCTTGGAATTGATGATCTGAAGAGGGTGATCTAGCACTAGGGAACTGACTTTGACACATATTGCAAATGAGATCCACTACCACACTAACAATGAATAATCCACTCCCCCACCGAAGTCGGTAAGGAGGGAACTGCAACTAACCAATGTGTTTTCTGGGGAGATAGCTGAAATGAGATCCTGGTAAGGTTTAAGATGGCCCATGTAGAGTCATACTAAGGAATATCAGATCACGTCGACTACATGAAATACTTTGATACAACCTCATTGATGGATATTGATGAAGCATCAAAGTGTTAGTTATTATTCACCACTTTCAAGGAGTTTGTTCTCTGATGGTTCTCACGCATACCACTAGAAGTCCTTACATCCTTTTATCGAGTTCAAAAGGTTATTACATAATTTGTGAGCACTTACAAGCCTAAAAAGAATGCATAGGATTTCTTATGGAGATAGGAGCCAAGTGAGTTCCTGAGAAACTTTATTGATTAGTTATGGAGGGAGAGCGTGAGAACAAGGACTTTTTTTGAACAAGGACTTGGAACCATCAATTTCCCAAAGCTAGGGGTGTCAATATTTGACCCGACCCAAACCCAGCTAAAAAAATATGGGTTCGGGTCCACCTGTTTGTCGGACGGGTCAGGTTCAGATTGTGAAACCCCTTAAGTATAAACAAGCTAAACTCTTAAGCATCGAGGCGCCTTTTGGTATAATGGTTGGAATTTTATTAATAAACTATGCACTTAAACGTGCTCATTTCGAAACAATTCTGGGATAAGTGACCTACTGAGAAGTTACACCAACAGGACAAAGCCGTGAGGCTCTTAGGCCAAAGCAAACAATATCTCGATAGTTAAGAGTTTAAGCTATTACAAATAATATCAGAGCCATACATCAGTCGGAAGATGGGAAATAATATCATACAATATAAAGTGTCACGTCATGGGAGCCACCTCTTGAACCTTGTGTGGGACAAGTGTTACAGGATCCACCACTTGAACTTGTAAGGGCCACCTCTAGAATCATATATATCAGGTGGATGATTATGGAATAAAGATGCTGATGATGATGTCAGTTACTTAAGTGGGAGAGCTTATAAAATCACTTAAGTAAAAAAAAAGGTAAACTCTTAAACATAGAAATGCCTTTTGGTGTAATGGTTGAAAATTCATCAAAAAACTCCACTGTTAAGCATGTTCATCTCGGAGCAATTCTAATATGAGTGACATACTAAGAAGTTACACTAACAAGACAAAGCCGTGAGGCTCTTAGGTCAAAGCGAATAATATCTTGATAGTTAAGAGTTTGGGCTATTTCATGATTGACTTGGAAGCCCGGAGCCAACTCGATTGACCCGGAAGCTACACCTACCCACATCACACATTCCTCAATCCGCTACTCTGCTTAAGTGCTCAACATTCCATAGTACGCACTCCTCAACTTGTCCACTCGAGTGCTCAACAATCCGCATTGCATGTAATTTCTGAAAATTTTACAATAGGGGTTTTTATTGAATAGGAAATTATATAGATATTGAAAAATAATTATTTCGTATAACAAAAGTCTTAAAACATCATTTTACACAATCTCTAATAATTTAGTAATTTTCAAAAAATGTGCATTTTTTGCCTAGTAGGATTTTCTGTTGTTTACCGTTATACAACAATATGCAATTCTAACACATGCACAATTACTCTTTACCTGTTATAATGTAATTTTATATATATGATTAAATAATATATGCTGCGAGTTATAAGAGGACCAGAATCCTCTGAGATTCTATCTATGGGAGGGAATTGCTGAGAGCTACAAGGGATCAGAATCCTTAAAAATTCTGTTTGAGACAGAAATATGTGATATGCTTTGGTGTTATAAGCACAAAAAGATATTCATAAGGGGCCAAAATCTTTTAAAGTTCTTTTAGAGTCCAAAAAATGTGATATAAATTGCTCTGAGACAGGGATATTGTTATGGGTTGTATTAATAGTCATTAATCAATACTCTATCAAATGTTCAGATGATGATATCTTGCTCTTGCTCTTGCTCTTGCTCTTATGACTCACGATCAATCGTTCCTTATGACTCCCACTCAATTAACTTCTTATAATTCCCATTGAATCATGTGAATTAGTAGCCCCAACTCCTTATAACTCCATCAATCCCATATTTCTTATGACTCCCATCCACTGACTCCTATCAGTGGACCACATGAATCGTAAGAATACACACAGGTTATCATATCAATTATCTGATATCAACGAGTATATATCTAAATCTATATATTTGTTGTGCACCCTCACAGAATCCGGACGATTCTCTCATCTGGACTGCACATAATAATCTGTCCAACAGAAGAACTAATTTAAAGTAACTTTGATTAAAAAATAAATAAGACTTGCAATAGTACTAAGAATAATTATCTGTTGAGGCAAGTTTTTTGTATATTTACTGAATATTACGTACGGAGTCCGGATGGGAGAATTGTCTGGATTTTGTGAATGTACACAACAAATACACACCAAAAAATAAAACAGTATATTTACTGTGTTTTCTCATAAAATTCAAACGGTTCTCCCATCCGGACTCTACATGTAATAATCCCATCCCCCCAGCAGAAGAACCAATTCAGCGGAACTTTGATTAAAAAATAAAAAAGACTTGCCATAGTACTAAGAATAATTATCTCCTGAGACAAGTTTCTGCGGCAAGTGCCATTTGTTATCGCAGCTTACACTGCATGAACTTTCTGTACCCTAGTTTGCTTTCTTTGCGCCGCCCTCTCCGGCCGGGGGACTTCTCCCCTATGGCTGCTGCTGCTTCCTTGCCGCTTCCACCT